GAACGATCCGGACGGGACTGAAACCATGTGTACCGCCAGCGCTAACGCTGGTGGTACAATAACCAACTATGAATATTTTTTTCAAAATAATTGCAACAAAGGAATTTCACAAAAAAATCCTTTTCAACGAAAAAATGGACTTATGGCACGACCAACAAGAAAATCAATTAATATCAATTCAAAATGTACATAGGAGGAAGTCTATTTGTACCTGTTTATTGAGGGACAACATGTTACAGACCATATCCCTGGAGTACGGTTGCTCCAGCACATATCTCAGTAAGTCTGTCTGAAGTTCCTGGGCTTCCTGAAAAATTCAAAACTCCCATACTTCATGTAGCAAACCAAATATAAATACCATTTATTATTCTTTGGTTTTACCATGCACTATAATCAGTTTCATTTTCTAGTATTACTAGGGAAATAACCTTAGCAAGAAAAGATCAAATCAGAAAGCATTCTAATACAATTTGTATTAGTTAAGTATAAAAAGATTCAGCAATGTCCATCCTGTCTCAAGAACATGAAGACTACACTACTAATAAGAAATGGACAACTGAATATAAAAGAAATTAACAGATAAAAATACCTTGTCATATGGTAAGGGACCATGAAGAGGAAATTTCAATGTAGGAGTTAACCTCCAGGCACTTGCAGTAGTACTAGAATGCCCTACCACAGGTAGCAAGTGGCGCCGTCCTACAGAACATGAATCATAGAATATTACTGTACACACTTTATAAATTAGAAAAACAAGACATAAATCATAAGGAATTGGAAGAAAAAAACAACTGACCACATGACAGCCATGTTTCAAGTTATCAAACCATTCATGCAATAGATTCTTGACTGAGGAAAAACATAAACAACACTTTATGAACACTATATGAAACGACACTATCAGAATCTATATATTTCTGACAAACTAAGATTACCTGGGAGAGTGACCATCTGTGCAGTGGGACGAAAGGTTTCCACAAAATCAGACAAAATCTGCCCTAATTTCTGAAAAGAAAAATTAATGAGTAAAAGACAATGAATGATAACTATACGTCCAGACACTTTACATCTGTACATAAAAGGGGAAAAATACAACTCATTCAACTGAATTTTGCTTTACATCCCCCCCAAAAAAAACAGTAATACTAAACCTGTTTTAACAAAAGCAAGATATCGCTCATTAGAATTTAGACTGTTGATGTTTTCTTACCCAGTGTGGCCACGGTCCTCCTCCCCTGTCCTCTGATGTTAGTTTTACTATTTCATTGACTGCAAAATAACTGGGGAGTAGGCAGGCATTTCTGTCCAAAATGTAAGATATCACCTAGGGAAAATAAGTTGCATGTTACCATCATATACTTTTTCTTTAAGCAAAATTAAGCCAGTAACCAATCAAAATCATAAATTCAACTTCATCTATATTCAAGACTAGCCAACACCAATACTTGAAACTTGACAGTTAATGTTTTTGTATGCGTTTTTTTTTTTGGAAGTACTTACATTTAGTGCTGCATCTAACTGTCTTACAGCAGAGACATTAGCAGACATAGGGATGGTCTGACACTTCTCAAGAACCAGACGAAACAGGTCCCTACAGCCCTGCAATGCAACAGACACTGAATCAGCATATTTGTATCTGGATCCATCTGAACACCCCACCATCCAACTCCATTCAACTTTGTATTTTTAGTATCTCTATCACCAGGGAGAAATATTCACCATTATGTATTTCATTATCTTTGGTTAAAAATGGCATCTTACCTTGTAATCCACCCCTCCTACAATCTTCCTTAATAACTGAAAAGTTTGGCACCACAATGCTTCATTTTCATGCTTTAGCTTGTCACAATGCAGCACAGCCTCACATACTTGTCTGAAATATGGGGATACATAAAATTGTCAAAAAAAGGCTTCATTGATCAAAGCTGTGTAATAGGTAACATGCTTTCTTTAAACTGCACTCAAAAATTCAACTACTGCAGAGGGACAATAATTTCATTGACCAAAAAGAAAGTAGCATGCCTAGCCTCTTAGAATCAAATTCATTATAAAAGGAAATACTCCACTTACTTGGCAGAAACAATGCTGTTTTCTACAAGATACTCTAGCATGGAAAACAGCTTTTGTGATCGCTTGCTGTTTCTTTGATTGTACACAGCAGACACATATGCTTTCAAGATGCCATCATATGTGGAGGGATCCTAAAACAAGTTAAAGACTATATAAATCTGTAACAGAAAATGTTACATCAAGGATGAAAAGCTTTCCTTTTTTTTCTCAGAGATTTATTATGTCATAATTTAACTTTTTAAATAAAACTCTGATAGGGAACTGTCTTGCCCAAGCAAATTGGACAGTGTTATTCTTATTTTAAAATTATCAAGTGCTCTGTCAGCTGGCTTAAATTTTGCAAAGAAAACTGATTCTTTATCACTGCATATATATAGTTACCTGAATTAAGAAATAGACACTACATCTTGAGCAACTTACACCATCTATGATTCACAAATTTAAAATATCTTTTTGTTTTATCATAATAGACTCACTCGAGATGCCCAGAAAAACTTAAACGTGTGCTGACAGGACTGGTTTTTCATTTCTTCGTTCTTAGTGGAATTTTCCAGGAAACCACAAAATGCTTCCTGTATTGCCTCTGCTTGCTATAAAGAAAAATCAAACAGACTTAGGTATAAGATTGCATGACTTCATTTGTATTCTTAAATGTTTTTCCATCGATAATTTGTTTTGAAAGCTTTGTGTTCAACTATCGTCATAATCAAAATAACAGAATGAGCACAGTGAAACTGTAGTGACCAGCCAGCCAGTTCCTGGACAACAGTCACTGACGTTATAAAATAGATACGACAATTTCTGGAGCCACAAGAAGGGCTGTATAGATATTTTATATCAACACAAGTTTCAAATAAATGTAGTATAGCACACTGCAGTCTACTAGTTAGCGTTACCATAATGAAAAATTGATGTCATCATTTTTGTACTTTGCTTCCTCCTTTACATAGCAGGTTTTTAAAAGATCATATATCGTACTGAAATCTAAGTCAGAATTGTATTTCCACATGTGCTTCGATCCTTTGAAAGGCATGTAACGATATAGATAATGAAACTAAAGTTGTGAAAGAGAAAACGACATTGTATTTGTACCATAATGGTTGCCATATTTAACTTAATTTGACAGTGGTATGTAAGTTAACCTTAAATGGAGGGTACTCACCAAAACATCTTGAATGACTTCGTTTACTATTTCGTCTGACATATCGACCAAGTCTGGCATTTCAGCACACTTTTACATAAAAACACCGGTGCTAAAATGCACGCATCTGCATCAACTTCCGGTAAAACAACTTGCGCGCGCGTCAGAAAACAAAGCCCAAACCAAGATATGTGCAAAAGTCAAAAATAGACATGTGTTTTATTGTCTTATTTTGTCTGGTGATGGCACAAAACCATTTTACATTAACAAGAAGGCAGTCTTTACAAAAATCTAAATTTAAATTTAAACAGAAGTTGAACTTCAAGTAATTGTCGAATTTTTGCTACTGGAAATACAAAGTAGACATGATGATAATGTCATGCACTGACCTTGCTGTGCGTGAAGCTGTACAGTGCAATGCATTTATAAATTAAAATATATAAAAGCAAAGGATCAAAATCAGTCACTGTCCTTATTGTGTGGGGATGGTTGTGTGAGTCTGAGACAGTACAAACAAAATCGTGACGTAACCAAAAGGCAAAACTGTATGAAGTCTACTAACTGAGTACTTGCGCTTGCAAGAAATGGCAGAGAAGGGGTCGAATGGGAACACACCAAAACCTCCTCCTGCAACAGAAGGTTATCAGGAGCCTGGCTGGAAAAATATTAAAACTACTTCAGTCTTCAGGGCAGTTAATTTTGAACTCTTTGTTAAACCAGTGAGTAAAAGAACCTTGCTTCTTAATTCAGAATATGCCTCTTTCAAATACTGGCAATTTGATAACTTCAATGTGTTTTTATAACTTGTTATAATTGCAAGATGCTGTATGCATATATCGAAATATATTAGTTTAAGTAGTACACAGCAATCTGAGGTGAAACTAGGTATTTGACGATATAGTAACTATGTGCAGTACCTCAGTCTTCACTGTCAAAATATAAAATCTTAAACACCACTGCAAGTTTGTCTCACTTTCTGTATTTCAGAACAAAGTTGTCATGGGTCTGGGACTGGTAGCCATATCTGGCTGTGTGGCATATCTGGCTTATATGAATGCTATGGCAGAGAACAAGGCAGATATGTACAGAGCTGTCACAGAGGACGGAGAAGAAAGACTACAGAAGAAAACTTCAAAGTGGGACTAAAACATCTAATTAATATATCCATATAATATATGAGATGTAGGACATTTATCTCAAGAAATTGGTACAGAAATGAAAGACCATCAGTGGTTTGAAGTGCAGGTCTTCTTTTTGAGAGAAACATAGATGGTGGGGAAATGCAGATGCTACAGGGACAAGGTTTTGCCCTGTAAATGTCTGAGGAAAAATCACGTGCATTAATTAGAGGAATATGGAGGAATTTGTGGTTCATACAGTACCAGTAGATGCATTTCTTGTGTGCATCAGCAATGGGTTGTTCTCTAATTTGCCAGAACTTCATAAGAATTGTCTTTTAGGTAATAAAATTGCTTTAATTATTTTTACTCTATTTGGCATGTTATGTGTTAAATTGTTCAGTTTTTTCAAACAATTCATGTATGTATTGTAACAGAAATGTAACAGAATGGTTTGTTAACTATTGACTTAAAATATTCAAATAAGATCAAATACAAAAAAAAATAAATAAATAAAAAATAAAATAAAAAACATTGTCTTTATTACAACAAATAACAATTACAATAATTATACAAAATCTTGTACAAAGCTTGAGAGATGATAGAACAAATGATGTAAATTATGATGATATTCTCTCAAAGTTATTTTTAAGTAAGACCATGTAAAAACTGGGTATATTTCAAATGAACCAACCATGCACATCTTTTATCACAAAGTTTTAATCGTCAGTTTAAAACCTTTCTATTTTGAGGTGAGATAGCAATTGGCATGAAGCCGAACTTCATTCCTGCACAAGATTTTATTAAATATTGCGAAAATTGACAGAGTTAGCTACAAGTGTATGGGCTACAACCCTGTGCCATCATTTTGAGTTAAATGTTTTTCCAATGGAGTTAAGAGCTCCTGATTACAGATTTTCATTAAACAAAGGTATTATTTTGCTTTATCAACGATAAAATGTGAACTAAGATTTTCAAGAAAAATCATTGGCAGGCCTTTGGAGTGCTAAATGGTGTCATTAAATCGGCATCAAAATGGTGATAGTGGGTGCTTAGATAAAGGAGAAATTTGAAAAACAGATTTTTCAGTTTTTACCCCAAAATCGCAATTATGACATCACCCTTAAGATGACGTGTAAATGTTAATTTAATCACTGTACACTGAAGATTTATCTATTACCCAAAAGAATGTAAGGCAGTAAATAAGGAGTTTTGGGCAAAGGCTTACAATATCCTTAAAGCCATGACTTAATTACTGAGTTTACTAGTGGTTGCTTCTGAAATTATTAGCTTTGAAAAAGAGTGCACTATTGAGACAACTAAAATATCATATGCTGTTATTAATACCTCATACAAGACAACAAAACTATACCATGAAATTAATTAAATAGATGCAGACTGTCTTAGCATGATGAACTCCAAAAACAAAACAACAACAACAAAATATGCAAAACGGAAGTAAAAAGTAATAATTTATTTTTTGACAATGTGTGCCGGGTCCCAATTTTTTTCAATTAAAAGTGTTGGGCAAGTAACACAAGCAGGTATCTTATACTTTAACAAACGATATATGATACAAAAGATGAAAAATGCCTTCTAAGAATTTTTTTCCTTTTATTTAACATCCTAAATTACAGATCATGTCTATATGTAAAATTGATGAGTCCTGACATGAGTGTATTTTGCTGTAGATGAAGTTCTTCCCCATCTCCCAGGTTGTTGGTATTGGTGTACCCTTACACGGGCAGAAAAGCTACATCTGTGACCTTCCAAAATCTACAAACCTCATCTGAAAAAGAATAAAAGCAAAATGGTCTGAATCTCTGAATTACTGGAATATATATTTTATTACATCAGTGTTACTGTAATTAGTAAGAACTTTTGGGATTCAAATTTAGAACAAAATACCAAATCTTTATAATAGTGAAGTATGCATTAATCAAAATAAAATGGCCCTCCATTTCACCTGAATTGTAATCTGCTGTATCTGCAAGATGGACTGAAGTACTATAAGTGAAGGGATTGGCTATAAATTGCTGAAAATGAAAAATGATTCCATTTGTCAAATGATCTGAAACTGAACATGATTAAAATCTATATTTAGGTAAAAACATTACTGCTGCTAATACACTCTGGTGCAAAATGTAATTATGGTATTACAGATTCCTAAACCATGATCTGAATAAGTGATGTAACTAACATACTTGTCTTAAATTTACAGTCCATTTTCCTGGCCCCAGAACCCCACACATAAAAACATACTTGAAAACATCAGCTTTCATCTGAAAGAAATGACAAATGAAATCAATCTGGAATATTTGTTTTCACTACATGGAACAGAGAGGGATATATACAACTTGAAACGAAACACTTTAAGTAAATTTTTCTTTAAATTTTAAATGACTTTGTTTCCTGACAGTTTCCCTGGCAAACAAAATGTTCACACTTGTGACAGGGATGACTTCATAAAGAAATAAAAGCTTTTTCTTAGTTTCCAAGTTTAACAACTTCCAAATTTATGAAAATGTACATTAGTTTCCTTTATATAATTCTGCAAACAAGAGGAAGCCACATCAACGACAACCATTCTGAATTGTTTGTCCTCACCAGTTCTCCAGTCCAGCGTAGTCTGATTTCTCTATGACATTTCGCATTCCCTTCAGGATCCAACAAGGTGCCTATAAAGAACATGTCCCACTGGTCTAGTTCTTCTGTGTGCCAGTAGATGGCATATGTTTGGTTTGATGTCTGCCTGGTAATGTTAGCCATTTCTGTCATTATAAAAATGTAGAGGTTAGTAAATATCCTGTTGAAAGAGATTAATGAAGTACAAAACAAATGGAATTGAATTCTATCATACCATGGAAATTTATGTAAGCTTCCACGGTCAGACAAAATATAAATTTCAGTGACACGTACATTAATTTTGTCAACCTGTAAATAAAGTTATTATACAAGCTATGAAACCAAACTAAACATGTCAAAAAGAACTTACAGTTGAACCCTTGTGGTTAATTGTTCATCCAAATGCAAGAGATCTCAAAATCAATGACAGAATACCTGCACATGTGCCCATTAGCTGCTCTGTATGTAACACTAGATGGAGCCACAAGAAATGACCCCCAGCAGGTTCTGTTGGAGAGGGCAATGCAACTGAAAGGCTGTCGGGAGGGCTGCAGAAAAAATGGTTATTTCTGATTTTTTAAAGCAAACATACAGTAAAGTCTAATCTGACATGAATTAACGGATTACACCATAAAGAAAGTGACTATTTTACTCAAAAAATTTATCTCACAAAATGTTTTATTGATAGTAATTTTTCAAATTCTGCATAACAAAATGCAATAAATGTGGGAATGCTGAGCTCACTCCCTTCTAGGCAAGTGGGGATTATAGTGATGTTCCAGTCGTGTAGACAACTGCATTGATCGGATTACTCCTAAGGAAAAACAGCTGTGCCTGGATCTCATACTCTGAAATAAAACATTTGGGAAGTTGTATTATTAAGTTCTTTTATACCACATATCAAAACTTATTAAAGATAAATATGCTCATATTTTTCAATTGCATACAATTACAGAAACAACGTTTTTAATTTTTATTTGTGCATAGCCAAAGTATCAAAACAGTATCTTGGTGGAACAGCCTACACATTTCTAAACTAAAGAACTGCCCCTCCTGGATTACAGGTTTAAGTGCTGCTTACCAATGATGCCCTGGCTTCCTGAACTCCCATTTTGGTATTTGCCTTAAACATAGATAATAGGCAGATATACAACCAAGCTTCTTGTGGTATTTATTACAAATCTAATAAAGATGACTCCAATACAGCAAAAAAGATATCTTTCAATACATAATTTCTTTTGCATTAAACTAGAAAATTCAGAAAGGGACCATTCAGCAAATTACAATAAATACAATCATTATTTCACTCATTCATTTTTCTTTCAGCACTCCACTGGCTTTTACTGCTGGTCATCTGGTTTAGTTCCTAGGACTGGGTTCCCATACTTAGGCTTCGTTCACATGCAATGTCTATTTTCTATTTTCTATATGTCTTATGATCACGGTCTGTGCACTGAATATCCCGCGGCGTAATTACTGGCAGCGCGAGCCAGTTACTATAAGTTACTATAAGTAACTGGCTCGCGCTGCCAGTAATTACGCGGCGGGATATTCAGTGCACAGACCGCGTAATTACTNTAGTTTGATAGCAATTTTGTGAAACTCCCCAGGGAGATAGGTTGATCCAAATATCTGTGGGAATGGTGCCTAGGACACTCATTACAATACATACCACAGTGAATACAATGGTATACAGAAATTCATCCACCAGTCCTCCCATGAGACGTGGGACCTCACAGCAGGGATCAGAAATGTCCAGTCTAGGCAGTATTGCCCAGCTGGTCACTCTATGCAATGTCCAATTTTTTTCATGAGGGCTGTGGTTCTCTTTCAGACATGTCAATGCATGTTCAGCAAGCTTCCTGAATTGTGAATAAATAAATAAACAGTTAACATTCTTGGTCCTTATTCAATCATTAGTTCTTCTTTAAAATGTAAAATTTTACTGTTTCTTGTAATATAAAAACAATAAATAATTCATAAACATGATGTTGTTCTCCAGCAAATCACTGCATCAAAATTATTGAAACAATTCAACGTGTAAAAATCACTTCAATGACTGTAATATTCTTCAATCATGAGACGTTGTCTAAATATCTAAATGCCTAGACTCAATACATTTTAAATTAATTATAAATGTTACATATAACTGTGCAAAATGAAATCTGGTATACACCTAACCACAGTGTCTGGAACCCCTAGCTTAAAAGGGGGACTGAAGTTGTAGTGAGCTAGATCTTTTATGATCTGTTCTCTGACATCATCTTGTGGGTTAGCACTGAATTTCCTAGCAAAGAAATGCCTGTGAGAATGAAGCCTTAGTAGACCTACATCTGCAGAATGGAGTACCCTTGGACCCTAAAAGGTTTTTTTTAAAAATTGTGAAAATTTTTATTTTACCAAAATAATCTAATAAATTTCCTTTTTAAAGTTAAAAATAATGACAATAATCTTCTTTTTTAATACACAGATCTTTTATGATTGTGCCTAAGAGATGTGGCCCTACTATATACAGTGAAAAGATGGTAATACCGAAAAAGGTCCATAGAAAATTGTGACTTTAAAATGTTATGTATATTTCTTACATATCTGTATGAATGTAGTTGTAACAAATGTCTACAAGTTCTATGTCCTACCATTCCACAGTAATCTATGTCATCTGAATGTCTGCACAGGTTATTTCTGTCATTTCCTTCAAACCGTGGAGTAAAATGGAGGTTGAAGTTTACTAGGGTGCCTCTGAAACCATGACAAGTAATTCTTGTTTATTTATTGTAAATTGCACTACAGATAAGCAAATAATAATAATTTAATTTCCATGGATTGAAGACCTAGGAATGGATGTTATACACCTTAGCTATACTGAAGGAAGGAGGAGTATCAAATATTGACAAAGAATGTTTTAGTATTTTTCAATGATGGTGTTTGAATACTAGCAATTTGGTAATGATGCCAAGAAATATTGTAAATCTAATTATTCTACTGAGCAAAACTCCCGCATACGTATAGTATGAAAAGGAACTTAAGAGTAAACTTAAAAGTAAAGCAAAATCAAATTATGCACAATTGTGCACAAAGTTTAAAATATGTCACTCACTTGAATCTGCTGGCCTCCATTATGGTGGCAAAGTATGTCTCATCTGGTATCATTGATGTCTGTATAAAGAATATTTTTTCTCTTACTTTGCCCTCATCTGGGTTTATGCTGAAGTTGGCAAAATCCCTATATTTCATAAAAAAAGGGTAAATCTCTTTAATGTCAGACATCTACAGTACTACCCCCCCCCCCCAAAAAAAAAAAAAATTAATAAAATATTTATCAGATATCACTATTATGCTGTTTTAAATCATAACTAAATTAACCTTAATGAGGCAATGTGAATGCAATGCCGTACCTGCTAAGAACAAACCATGTTGCACTGCTGTAGAGGTCAAAATGTCCTGGTTTTCTTGTAGTAACATTATACACGTGCCCACCTAAGTTGTGCCTGATAATTATTGGGTAATATAATTATGTAACAAATAGAAAAAAATACACTTCTTCTCAATGTGCTTGTGTAAAATTTACATCACAGGGAGATCTGACTTTCAAAATCTGTGCATGCAATGTTACATTACATTAAACAGATAGTTTAACTTTTACATAACAAGTTTCTGTTTTTCATGTACACAAATTGCTTAAGAATTTCTTGACAAAAGGTTGACTGTTAATTTGTAACACTGAAGAAAGATCTATTTACCAAACACTTCTGGATGGTGCATCCTTGATATAATCCAGTTTGAAATTCACTCTGATAAAGTTCTTTCCTGTTTGAATGAAACACAGTTTGCTAAGACTGACAACAGTAATTTTGTGAAATCATTTTAAGAAACAGTACCCTAGAAGGTAAAAAGGTAAAGACACTTGTTTAAAAATGAAAAGATGTCTTTTATGCCAGTGAGATAAGACAATATCCTCCAATTTTACCTCTGTAAGGAGCCAGTGCCAGAGCTAAATCCTCCATAGTCCTCAGTGGAAGATCCTGGCCACTCAGGTTTATGACAAAGTCCCACACCCCCATCTTGAGGAGTTCCTCTATACACTAAATGCATTAAATTTAATTTAACTTTTACCATGTATGAAAACCTTGTTTTAACAAGGATAAAAGAAAAGACAAATGTCCAAACAGTATTTAGGGCTAATAATTAAGATTAAACCAATCAATCAATGCTAGAACATTACAAATCCTAGTTCTTTGATTTTAATCAGGTGAGCCATCATATAAAGTTATAAATGAAGGGATGAAATACTATCTTTGTCAGGCAGTGAGATTTACTTGTTTCATTTAATCAGATTAAGAAAGTTTGAAAAATCATTTGTATGCATGGACAGATCCAATGGCAAGTAATGTTGCATGTATAAATGCCATCAAGATTCAAGAATATCATTCAACAGGTTTATAAGCTATCTTTTAAGATAGAGCCTGAAGCTGCTGAATTAAAGAATAATAAAACTGCAATAGGTAATGGGTCATTTGTGACAGAAAAAATTAAAGGCTTGTTATTTCAAAATTTAATTCACAAGCAGAACATTTTTGTAAGATATTTCAGCATTACCTCCAACTCTGCTCTGACAATCTCAAATGATCCCCAGGACGAAAGAAATGATCTATGATTTTTTAAATAGATGCAAAACAATATTATTCGAATCAGCATTTATACAAGATCATATGAAACAAAGTTTCAATATCAAAACAACGTGGCTGTCTGTAGAACTCGGGGGTCTGTAGAATGGGTGCTTCTCAAAAATCCTAAGGTTCACTGGTCCGAAGGTTCATTGGTCCCCAAAATTGTATTCACGTGTCTCTGATGAACTTTACTTTATTGCCAGTACACTATACACTTTTTTCATGCATCAATTTGGACTATGGAACCTTCAGACCAATGAACCTTGGAACTATTGCTATGGCCCCTGTGGAATATATTGGACAGCGCTATTTTGTTTTGTTAATTATAGACCAACAATTATTGTCACAAGGCACAACAAAACACTTCGTGACCCTCTGCTATCTGACTAATCACTTGGTGGCAATGATACCTCATTAAATTTAGTATAAAATATTATTACTTTTTTTATGATTATTACAATGAGCAAAAATATCTTATGCATATTTCATAAGTAGAGATAGATTCAAATGTTGTTTACCTTGAGTATGGGAGAACTCTAATATTATGATATCCTTTGAGTTCTTTTGAAATAAATCTTTTTATTTCCTGAAAAGAAAGAGCACCTTGATCTAGAATTAAGATACATTTTAACATTCTTATGCAAAATACAGTTGAAACTTAATGTTATGTTAATTGTTCAAATTACTCAGTATCAACTCTGTCCAAACTGTTGATCAATTTCTTTGATAAATTTTGATAATCATTCACGAAAAGAGGATAATCCTTGTTACATTCATGAAATATCAAAGTAAATCTTAAAATTTAAAATATAACAACCTCTCTGACAGTTTCTGCTCCTCTGCAGACATGGATCACATAAAAATGTTGGGGCCGCAAAATTAATTGCAACATTTGGAGCTAAAAAAACAAAAAAAAAAAACAAAACAAAAGTGATGTCTTACTGTAGAGCACATACATATACAAATACAAAAAGATTCCTCTACTAAGAAAACCTTTACAAAGAAATTGAAAAGTTTGTTTATATATTTTAAAATCATATGATTCTATGAACACCCCTTAAGCAAAACATGTTAATCTAAAATGAATATAAACATACCACTGCCATGGTTCCCTTATGGACCATAATAATAAAACCAAGTCTCACTGGTACCAGACCCTGGTGGGGCACCTCCTGAGCTTATAAAGAAATGACCAAATACAGCAAGCAAAATATTAAATTTTTTTTCTTAAACATTTACTTCCAATTATTTATTTTCAAGTAGGTGCAAAATCCTCAGGTAAATTTTAAAAAAATAACATGAAAGAAAATTTTTAGTGGTTCAACTTAATTTTGTGTAGAACTAAACTTTTTTTCTGAAAAGGCAAGCCTAACACACAATCCTTCAAGTAAGAGAAATAACCTTCTGTACCTTGGCTATCCAAGGAAAAATCAGGTCTTGTCCCAGGTATTGGTAAAATTCTACTTGTAAAAAGAATTTGTCCGGTTTCCTGTAAAATTTCCAAATTACATTTTCATTTGAAGGCCTAGTGTTTCCCTGCCTTTCAAAATTGAAAAGGAGACCACAATTACTAGCAGCATATAGTAATTACGTGTAACATAACTGCAGTGATAAAAATACCAAATGGTCCTTTTAGCTAGATTCTAGAATCACAAAGCAGCCCTATCAAGTATATCACAAAAGGGGTTATATATGTTACATTATACAAAAATGTTGCAGTTGAAATAGAAACTGATTTCCCCACTATTTTCTCACAAATCTTGAATTTCCACTCTGGAACCAGCTTATTTTTGTGTTGTTTTGTTGTTACCCACATTTGAGGCAAACACAGTAGGCACACATCCTCCCTGTCTGTTGTAATGGTAGGCACAGTAGACACTTTTCAACTCTTGTCTGTGGTTTCTGTCAGGAATTCTGAAGAAGATCCAGACCAGTTTACTTACAGGACTGCTCAGTCATGTTTTACATGCAGAATGGCTAAATGATGTCTGCCCATTTGTATTTGGAAAATTAAAAAAAAAAAAAAAAAAAAAAAA